ACACGTGGAGCATGTATTAAAGCTAATTATTGTACATCGGTCAATGTAATTGCAACGCAAATGCAACATGGTCCACGTAATTAGTTGGCACTAATGGAAACCTCATAATGCAACAATTGTACTAAAACGCTCAGCGCTGAGAATATTTCTTTGCAGCACCAGGGAGTCGTGCTACTTCTCTCGTCGAATTTAAGGAGCACTTTGCCAAAGGGAAGGCAGATGGCTATCCGTCCACCCCCACCCTCCCCACTACCAACACCTGGAGTTACTGAGCTCCTTGCACCCGCGGGAAGGTGCCCAGTCCCTGGAAGGTCCCCCCCGTACTCCGGTTGCAGCCTGGGCAACCCAGAGCAAGCTGTTTGGGCTCACCACTGGGCTGCCCGGGGCTGCAGCAAGAGCTGCTCTCAACAACTTGATTAGGGCACATCAGATTATCACCTGTGATAGCCTCATTAACGCACACAACCCAAAAATATTTTGTTTTCTCTTTTGCTATTCTTCTTAGCTCAGCTTCCTTTTGTTCCGTTTGACACAACCCCATGGAGAAACCGCCTTACACAACTCTGTGATACTCTCAGAGAGGGCACGGCAACATTTCCCAGCCTTCAGCTGACTACTGGGCTAGTTCCACTTCGATTTATACTGCTTGGTGATGCTCAGAGACACGGCCATAGCGGGAACAGCAGGAAGATAAAGGAAGATTTGCAGCTGCAGCAAGTCCCCTCAGGACACCCAGGGCGTTATTAACTCCTCAGGCAATGAGAACACAGTGGCAGAACTTAACAAGCATCTCTGCTGCACCTGGTACCTGCTAAAGCACCATGTGCTTATGAAAGCCCATACTTCACAAAGCCCAAAATGTGGGGCAGAAAACAAATGCTATTTTGTTGCAGGTTTCACAGAATTAGTAATGAGTGTTGGTTAACCCCGAGGTGATTTTACCCCTCCTGTCAGGTGCATTTCTCCAAGAAGGGAAAAAAAAATAGTTTCACCTTCTGTGAAGGACACAGTTGAAAGATCAGTTTTTGATGGCAATGGCAGATCTTATTCCACTGAGAGAGGACCAACAGTAGGCTGGGTGCAGCCCGTAACGGTACCCAACAGGGCAAATAAAGGCCAGCACGCACCTGGTATCACCACAGTGACCATCAGATGGATACTACCCTGCAAGCAAACAGCACAAGAGGTATTTTAAAGGAAAAATGCTGAATTTACCAGAAAATTTCTCTGTGAGGCAAGTTTTTCTCAGAACAAATGACCAATGTTCTCCTTCGTTAATTCTGATTATTTGTAGGCTCCAACAGCTGTAAGGCAGTTTAACATTTTTGTCTGGTTTTGGTTTAGTTGCAGATACCTGCCCAGTTACGCAGTGGTTTCGATCCAACATCACTGCTTACCCACCAGTAATACGCTCTAGCCTAACAAATGCTTTAACACACATTTAGTGACTTATTTCAAGTAGGTACAAATTAACCAAACCACCTTTTTGCCATCTGCTTGGAGAAACAAATTCCCACATTAGGGTAATAAAATATGGTGATGTGACATTTCCACAGTAGCTACAGAAAGGAGTGCTTGGGCACAGCCCCCGAAACACAGCCTGCCTCACCTCCGCAGGGGAACGACACAAAATACACTGAGCTCGTGGAAATTTCCAAACAGAAGCTGGTCCTTTGGAGAGAGGACAAAAATAAATAAAAAAAATAATAAAAAAAAAAAAGAAACCACCACCACCACAGAAAAAAACCCCACCCCCTCTGGAAAAGCAGCTCTGGATGTGCCAATCTGGACTCCATCACGATCATAAAATACTGAGGAGGAAGGGAAAGCTTACATATCTGTTTCCAGCAAGGGAACTAGGTCACTCGAGAAGCAATTCAAAGGCTTGCTGCAACGATCTCCTTCCACCCAGCCACGGTGCACCAGAGCCCAGAAGCACCAGCGCCGGGATGGTCACAGGACTGAAACACCCCCTTGTCTGAGCAGAGTTCAGAACAAGCTTCCGAAATGACAGTTTTTCACAGGCTGCTAGTTAAAAGTTAGGTGAAGTCTTAATTAACACAAAGCAGAAACAGAAACCCAAAAGCTCCTTTGCAGCCTGAAGGCCACCTGCATCTTACTGGGGTCTGATAGAGCTGATCTTAAACTTCAGCAGGTGTGCTACAGATGCATGGATCCAGTTATTTAAACATAGGGTAGCTCAGGCAACCCAGAAGGACTTCATCCTAATTATTACTGTTGAACAGTTACCATTGTAGCACAAGTAAAATAACGAAACCACCACAGAATTATTACAGAAAAAGCTAATTTAACAACCAGCTCTGGAAATATTGAGGCCATCATCAAGGATGAGAAGACTTCACAGAAGGGCATCAGCCTCCAAAAATAATCTGGAACGCCCTTGCTGCTCTGGAAAGGCAATATTGACCTGGAGATGTTACATGAAAGACAAGACTGATGCAGAAGTCAAAGTCACAACTTGGTATCCACGGGCATATTTATCACGAGGGTGCAGCCAGTGGGTTACTCCTGCCTGTAGTAACCTGGCACCTCTAGTAGGGAGTGAGACGAGTGAACACACAGGCAAAACATTGTGTTTTCACCAATACTGTAAATAAAAGTTTCTTTAAGAAGTTGTAGCTGCACAGCCCCACCCCCTTCATTGCCAGGAACAGAGTATTCTCCTAAGGCTTCTAACAGTTCAATATTCAAGCATACAAATAAAATTAATACTTAACCTGTTTTCTTCTGGATGCCACAGGCACCATCTAGAAATTCAATGCATTCACTCCTTATTCTCTTCCAACCCCACTGACAGCCTATAAATTATTACTTTATATTGCAGGGCATCCAGAGGCTCCAGCCAGGGTCAAAGCAATGCGCTAGAATAGAGACACTGGCTCCAGAAAGCTTCTCAGTCCTGGTCTATCAAAATCTCCTTTTAGGGGATGCTAAAATGCACCCTGTTTGTATAAAATAAACTGTTCAGTCTACGTCCATAGCTTCTCTGCTGCTGTTCCCCCTGGCAGATTAATTAACAGTCCACCCAGACCTTCTCCTTCACCATATTAACTGATACGTCATTTAAAACATATTAAATACAGCAATATACCAAACTTGAAAATTTGAATAATTCATAAAGGTAAAAAAAAAAGGTCTACACAAAGCTAGGAAATTTTGCAAACATCATTCTTTCATCTTCCACTCTCCCGTGTATTTTTTTAAAGCAATACTGAACTTGGGGGCAATTAATATCTGATACAGTTCTAACAGCAGCAAAATAATTTTTAGCATCTCCTTCAAACCACTGTTTCATACCATCCATCACTTACGGGAAAACACGATCAAGACAGGAGTCTATGAATAACTCTGCTTCTTCTCCAGGATTCAATCTAGACTGCTTCTAAATATGTATAATGCCTAGACTACATTAACACATTAAAGCTTTGTAGATTGCCATCAGTGCTTCTGCAGCTTAATTTCATCTGTCCCTCACAATTCAGATCTTCAACTACTTTCATCCTAAAGAAAAAAAAAAAAAAATCACTCCACTTTAAATATAAAAACTCATGATGCTCACGTAAGCAGATTGCTAAGCATGTTTAAGAGGATATATATTTAAAACCTGGCAGCAAAACTTTATTCCCCTGCTAAACAGGAGTATTCTCTCAGATTCTATTGCCTCGATGTTAATAAAAAGCATATTCTACGATCAGTTGAGCTTGAAAAAGTCTGGGAAGGATGATGAGTTTGACAAGTCAAACAATTTAGGATTAGACTTGGAGAATACAGCAAGCGATAGAAGAGTGAACATTTTAAGCAACTGATAAAAAAAAAAAAACACCACAAGGGATTCGCTGTGTTTGTTTTTTACTCCAGCTGCACAAAGGATAGAAAGGCACAGTGCAGTAACACAAAATGGATGCTTTTTTGCAAACACCACCTCGATTTCCAAACAAGTTTGTCTGTCCAGTTAAAAATTCTTTTCCTGCTTCTGACTGGAGATTTTAATTGCCAACACAGATGCTCTTTTCTGCTCCTTCAAAAGTAACGAGAGAATTTAAAACATTCTGTGCCCAAGACAGTCCTGCTGCACAAAGTAATTGGAAATGACAGATCACATACACCAGTACAGGCTTGACGTTTGTACAGTGAGTTCTGAAATAAACCTCGGCAGATTCACAGGAGTACTCACCCCAAGCTGAACAAATTCAGCAGCAAAAGCCTGAAAAATAAAACTTACCAATTTCAGATTAAGCACACAAGAGCAGCATGCATTAATTATTGGGCAGAAGTTTAAAGTTTCCTTTAATCATTCTGAAATGCTTTGAAATCACTTGTCTGGTATAGCAGCTCCAAAAGAGCTTTTATCTTTCAGCTGTAAGACAGGAGGCACGCTGGAAACCCCAGACGAGATTTTCTACCTTCCAGTTTTGGCATCTCTCCTTTTGAATTAGGTTTCCTAAGGTTGTGCACAATGAGATATACCATGACTAGTAAAGAAAATATTTAAGTACAAAACCGAATCATTAAATTTAACATGAGGAGAAACTTCACTTGAAAATTAGTCATGGAAAGCCAAGCTTCAGTTTAATATGTGTATTTTATATAGTAGCCCAAAGCCTCTGTATGCAAGTACAACAGGTTAAAAAGCCTGCCTCTTCTGTGCTACCGAGCCCATGCTTACAGCATGGGTAATTATAGACAACATACAAAAGAAGGTAATTAACATACTTCTCACATAAAAACAAATAGCTAGGCTAATAGCACGCGGACCCGTTCTCAGGCACCCAGAATAATTCACCATTGATACTTAGGAGCACTCACACTGGAGTAATTTATGGATACCATGGTAACATAACTACAGCTCACCAAGCCTCACCTTTCATGAAATTCATGCAAGTACTATCTCTCTGAAGTGAGATTTTTCACTACCTCCACCACCCCAGCATCCCCCCACCCCACCCCAGCATCCTCCAAAAGTTACCGAGCTTACTTACCGTCCAAACGGGGAAAATAAAACAATTCTGAACATCAGGTTTTAGGCATGACAGCCCTTCAGCTGTGCAACAAAACCAACCAGCTCATCTCTGCCCGAGCAGCGCAAACAAGCTGGTGGAGTCCCTGCTCTAAGCAGCCTGCTTCCCGTCCTCTGGGCAGGCTGAACCCGGTTATTGCCAGGACACCTCCTGTAAACACACAGCCATATGCCTTCTGCAGCTGCAAGTTATTAAATTGGATGAATGTTAACCGTTTAGGCATCGACAGCAGGCTAAACATTTTAAACACATTACAGAAACTCCAACCCTGAGAGCCAACCGAATACAGACATTTATTAAGCAGGGAACAGGGAGAATCTGCTCCTTTCTTACCTTAAGCAAAGGGAGGTCTCTGAATTCTAATGCATCTCAGATTTTTCAACTTCAAAAATACATCAGTTGGTGACTTAAAGTGGTTTCCCTCTCCGATTTCCTACAGGGGAGATGTGGAGAGAAAAAAAAAAAAAAAAAGAAAAATTGAAGTACTTAAGGATCTGCAGAAGCCATCGAAGTTGAATTTTTTCCCCTCTATCTGTAAAAATCCTCTTATTCAATCCTGTCTGCTCTTAAGACAGCACTGCTGACGAATTTCAAGGCGCAGCTCTTGACATGCAGAATCACTGAAGGATCAAGAGCATAAATGTCACTTCCTCTAGGCAGCACATCAACTGCAAAGGAGCCTAATCTGCTCTCCCCACCACAATCCTACCCAATTGAAGAGTAAATCCTGACATCTGCCTCATGCAGAGCTTTCATTAAACGTTTCTGAAGAATTCCAATTTAAAGCCCCTATCTAAAGGATCCCAGTTTTAGCTAAACCATTATGTAGTTTGACTTGAGAAACTGCACAAGTGGAAGAATATAAACTGAAAAGCTAATAAAACAGAAGTCAAAGACTAACCTTGAAACAAATTACAGCTGGCTACATCTGAACAGTAGCAGAGGCTCTGGAATTATTAAATGAGCTTCAGAAGAGATTTAACTAACCAAATTCCACTGCAATGCTTTATTTATGGTATGTGTGCCGGTCCCAAAATACTTGCTAAGGTTTTTCCATCTCCTTTATTGCTTTTGCATATTTCCTAATCAAATCCAACAGGCACGAACCCTATGGAAGCTGGAGGATTTTTTTTTTTTTTTTTTTGACAGTATTTCATAACACTGTGGCCTTAAAGTTCCTCAGAATAGAAATTAGGTGTCACAAACACAACATCCTAAACACATGCTATACGTGGATTAAACAGAAATCAGGACACCAGCATCGACATGAAAACACCATATAATTAACTCCTAAAATGGCATTTTAATGGTCTCTGCCCTTCCTCAACTTGGCAATAGCATGTATAATTACCCTCTTATTAGCTCTCTGCATCCTTCCCTCGCATTCCCAATTTAAAATCAAACAAAAACTCTTCTGTTGCAGTTTGCCTTGAAGAAGTCATGTTTTAAAAGGATTACCCATCGCTAAAAGCAAACTGGATTCCGTAAAAGGAGGCTTATTCATGCACTTGAGGTTTATTTCTCTAGGTATCTAAGACACACCTGGATCATTTAAAAAAATCTATTTGAATTTTCTTACTGAATTAGCTCAGTAAAGTAAATTTTATCACCCATTAAAATTTATGCCAACGCAACTTGAGCCTGCTCCGTGTTTCTTCCTATAATCCTCTTGCTGGAGGCTCAATTTAATAAACAAAGGCAGCTCTAATAATTCAAATCTTACTTTCAAAGATGTGATGTGCCTGTCAGAAGCTTTCTGCAACACAGTCAGAACATTTCTTCAGTCTCTCTCCAAGGCTTTGCATACGTTTAAGCCTGTGTCTTGCCTTTTGAATGCTGATAACTACTGTGTTTCTTTTCTCTCCTTTAAAGGATTAAACGCAACCACAGAGACATTTTTATTAGTGCATCATGCACCATTAAATTGTCAGCTTGTCTTCCACGATCCTCTTTAAAAAAAATAAATACATGGCCTTGAAAACATCTTTACAACAAAATACTCATTTTCTTGGCACTTACTTATAAACGGAAGCAAACAAAGCCAAAATCCAACCAACAAAGCACCACATATATTTTCCCTACAGCCAGGTTGCAGAAGATGAGAACCACTCAAGACACAGCATGTATTTTTAAAGACTGCGCAGTATGTGCACATAACATCTACCAGAAAGCCCTACACTTGGCTCCCCCAAGAGATTTATTTTTATTATTTAAGAGTTTACCCTACTGCCTTCAACTGGCAAGGCAAGAACTCCCCCATTTAGCGCTCTGGTCATATGGGAACACTCCCAGAGAAGAAACAGAAGTTTTGAACAGGAGAAAGCAGCGGTATTTTCATCCGAGACAGTCCTCCATACACAAAGGATGGTGCCAACACACATCCCATGCCAAGAAGATGATGACTTAGGATTCCCTGCAGTTATTTCCTATGGGCACTCTGGATTTTTAATACCTCCCTTATTTTTTTGTCAGTATTTCTACCTGGAAGTGAATCGACTCTTTTCCATACGCTATAGCTTCTAACCTACCGCCAAAGGTGCCCAAAATTTCCTTCATCAGGGCCATGCCTTGGCACAATTTTCAACCAGCCCTGCAGCCCTAACTTGAGAAAAAACAGCCGGCACTGCAGAAATGCGGTCCCTGCCCAAACTGAACCCATCCAAGAAGCTTCTGCCCGTACAAATCTTTTACCTTGTGTGACACTACCAAGTTTTAAAAGTAATCAACATTTGAGATGTTTGACTTAGTAGGCACAAGACCCATTGACACTTTAGATTTGCACATTCCTCCTGGTTTTCAGCATAGGCAGCAGAAACACCCCTGCCTCTCTTCATTGAGAAGAATTCCTCTCCAAAATACTGGTAAAATTCCAGAAACTGTTGTAGTCGCGTTCAACACTGACGCAGAGATCAGTGTTGGGCAAAGGTCCCCTTGCTCCCCGCCGTCCCCAGATGGGCAGGGCCGGGCTGGTTCGTTACAACAGGTCAGCAGAGAATAAACAAGGAGCATCCCTGCGACAGCTTGGACACAGCCAGGAGAGTCAATCTGGCCAAGTTCTGTTCCTGTCTGCTCCTGGCTTGCAAAAAGAACAGCTGCAGAGCCTGGAAATAAACCCAGGAGATTGCCTGAAGCCTGAGCACGAAGCAGCCAAGCAGGTGCCTTACCCCCGTTTCTTTTGCAAGGCGAGAGGCAGCTCAGGCAAACAGCTTGCACCGGGGGCTAGACGAAGGCATCGCTCCAACAGCGAAGAAATCCCTGCGGGCACCTTCAGAAGAGGGATGGAGGCCTTGCCGCAGCCAGACGTTGAGCCAGCTCCACGAGGAGCGCGGTAGGTGGAGGTTGAGAGGACAGAAACCGAGCAGGAGAAGGCACGAGTGAGACTTGGTGCAGCCCCGAGGAGCCCAAAGCCACGTTTGGAAGCAGCAGCCCAACGCGCTGGCTTCTTCGGGAGGCACCCCAGCAGCAGATGAGTTGACTTGCAGGTCGAAGGTAAAATTCACATACGCACAGGAGCACGTTTACTGAAAGCTTCTGCAAATACATGCATAAAATGAAAGATTTCTAACCGTCAGTAGATACAAGTTTTTGCCCTCTGGTCCAAGCCATCTGCTTCGTTTTAAGCTTTGCTCCACTCAGCTTCACTTCTCCAAACTCAGCTTCAGCCCTGAAACAAAGCTTTGGATTCCTTTTGTTATAGTTCTGAAATTATAGTGATTGCAGCACGGTTTGGTAAGTCATTAATACATGTACTAGGCGATTAGAAGCCTTCACTGGCAACCTGCAATTTCAGCACAACCACAGCAGTGTTATCAGATAATGTGTTAATAACCTGCTGTGTCTAAATACAGTGTTCCAGCGATAGGCATGTGCTGGTTTCAGAACGACAAAACAAATAGCCACGCACACAGATTTTACACAATCAATTCCAAACACCCGACTGAAGACGAAATCCTGTTTCTAGATATAGGCTAATGCTTTATAAAACACTGTGGGAATGCAATACCCTAAACGACAATTACACCAGCAAGGACTTGCCAGCCTTTTTTTTTTTTTTTAATATTAAATTTAATTTTTTATTATTTTTTTAATTGTAACTGCTCACAGCTTGCTTGGGAGGGGCAGCCTTTCCAGTAGCAGCGTAAAGTTGGACAACAGTGTGACTCCAGCTTTTGTACAAAGCTTTAACATACTCCCTGGAGGGAGCCTCACATAAAAGAACAAGACTTTTCCATCTTTGATAATTAAAGTTTCAACTGTAGGCAAAGCTAACAGAGGGGACAGGCTAACAAAAGCTAGAGAGGAGACAAGTACTCAGCCTTACCCCGAAGGACTGGCAGTAGGAAAAGCATGGGGATCTCATCCTAAGGCTATCAGGATTCATCCCAAAGAGATGGTCCAAAACCAGTTTAACTAATTTTGTCCATATTACTCTCATGAATCCACAAAAATAACATTTTCTCTTCGTGCCCATACAGGAGGATTTTATCTCTTGCCTACTAAACAGGAGAGTAAGGCCTCATGTTTTACTTCAGTGATGTATAAAACAGAATTTGTTGTTTCTAAAACCCAAGATTATTAAGAGGAAAAAAAAAAAAAAAAAAAAAATCTCTATTTTGCTTCCAGCTGTTGCACATTTCTGACACTGAGCCACGTCTACAGGCACAGCCAGGACCCACAATTCCTTCCCCGAGCTGAATTTTAGCATTTTCCCATCCGAGTCAAGAATCTGGCAGGTTCAAGTTACACGGTTCAGATCGGGCATCTGACGTGGCCATAAATGCCCAAGATCTGCATTTCTGCTCTCATACAATGCCCGTTACCAGTGTGGCTCCTCTGAACGCGCCGTCCCCGTCCATCGAGACCGAGGTTGGTGTTTTTCCCATAACCCAGAGTTTCTGCCACCTCCCGGCTGTACGGGACGGTGACACAGACAGACAGAAGAGCAACAAGGAAGCTGCAACCTGACGTCTCAGCTAAGATGCCAAAGGCCAGCAAAGACTCCAGGCTTTAAGGTTGTGTATCAGCCTGCTAGGAGAGGGCAGAGGAGAAAAGGTGCAGGCGCCGCAGCCTGCTCTCAGTGCACTGAACACACCGAGTTTCACACCGACGTTTGTCATTTATTGAGAGTGCTTTTCAATTTAAATAAGGTGGTTAAAGTGATAGCACCCAATTAACTGCTCAGTAGGAGGACGGCATTAATATTCATGAAACATTCAAAGCAGACATGGGATTCTTAATTGTCTGAACCCACACACAACAAAGCTGCACTTATACTGTACCATCCCTCCCCACCCCCACAAATATTTTTTTTTTAAAAAATCAGTATTCATTTAAGTAGGTGGTTTGGGTTCCATTCTGATTTTTGCCCATTTAAACACCAGCATTCAACTTTACCCAACTCTATTCCTGCTGAGAGGGGAATTTTTGGTCCCA